GAAAGAGGAAGGAAAAACTTTTGGAAAAAATGTTTCTTACATTTATCAAATAAATTATCGGAGCTACCAATTCCCCCAACCCCCCTAAAGTATATATTCTGAATGCTGTTCTATGTTGTATTCCCAATATAAGGGTCCTGCTCGAGAGCACAGCCTCATTTTGTCACCGATATATTTGTAATTAACTGAATGTACCTTCTTGAAGGAAATGTTCAATGAAGGTCCATTTTTTGGTACAGATCGCATTCTCTCCCTTCCATGTTAGATATTTAGCGACCTTTTCTAATGGAAGTGACTGTATGAGGACAACTCGTATCCTCAGACCTCTTCAAAGAAAATCCTCAATATAGGCTCACTTTTAAGCAAAGGACCATCATAAAGATCGGCCACTATTTTAGGTATTTTAAAGATATTGCCGATGTTTCCTACCGAAGTGGTTGTATAGGTACATGTTAGGTCATAGTCTCTATATATTTGACCCGACAAAAATTCTTCTCAAAGAATTAATGATCTCCCCGCCGAACAATATCAATATGGGTGCAATTTTAGAACAGCACACACGTAAGCATCCCTTCCATTTAATTCATTTTACAGACCCTAGTCGCAGTTTCCAACCACAATGTATGTCAATTTGCATTTGAGGTTATCAAAATCTATTAAACTTCCTAGGAGAAAATATTCAGTATAATTCCATGTTTGCCCTTAGCCTTCATGTAAAGATACCGAACAGCCCTTTTTCTGTATTTAAAGGTCTTACACGCAGTTTCCGACCCACATTACTTTAAGCTGACATTTCGGGTACTCAGAGTAAAAATTACCTCTTCGTAGAAAATTCTAATATAGATAAATTTTATGGACCCTGTTTAAAAGCCCCGTTCAATTGTATGTATTGTGATGGTCTTTTCTGCATTTTCTAATCGAAGAGCCTGTACCTAACCATTTCAGGTTCCCAGAGGATACAAAATATAAATACGTTGATGGGAGTTGGTATTTCTGGATCTCAGAGGACAAAGGATCTCTTTGTAGAAAAATGTCAATATAGGCACTGGTTGTGTCATAGCCCTATTTAAAGGTTCCGACCGATTTTAGGCAGTTAAAGGTCCAAGCACCATTTTGAAATCGAAGAACTTGAATTTAGGAAGTCAGGTTTTCAGAAGAAAAAATATGTATATTCTTGTTTTCATTTCGTTCCTTGTCCATCGTTCAAGTCGAACTTAACTGCATGCTACTTTTTCATAACTTACCTTAGCTGTAAATTCCTGGACATCGGGAGGACTTTTCAGAGCAATCAAAAATGGAGTACATGTGCGGCGCACAATGTCACGAAACTTCAATGTCAGGCCCTTGGGACGTTTAAAATCAAAATAGGTTGTGGCATGGCAACCGAACTCGGCCATATAGGGCTTATACAACTTATTGAAACCACGGCCTAGGAAACAATAAATATTTTAAATACATTTTTTATTAAATTTTATAATTCCTACTCACCCAATTGCACCAATTCCAAATCTTCATTCATTATAAAATGCCATGGAAATGCCTTACAGAATGTACTTGAGTTCATCGTCAAATCCGAAGCATTTGTTGAATTGCTGCGCTGTACTGGTCCCTCAGTGGTTTTACTAACCGTACGCACTTCACGGGCATGACCATCCTTGGCCAAGGAGAACAAATAACGATAACGACGATTATCACCCTCAACAGGTTCAATTTTTATATTGACCTGTACGTTGAAAAGAATACGCGTGAGGGCCTTCAACGAACCCAATAGTAGCCATGCAATCACGGGACGTTCCGAGGTAAATATCAATTCACCATCACCGGCACACACAAAACCCGTGTCACTCGAATCATCGTCCTGCAATCATCATTGAATTTTTACAAAGATCTTTTAAATAAATTTGATTATTGTTACCTCTTGGAATTTCAATACATCATAGACCCCATCCAGGGAACCCAAAAATTCTTGCAATTCAGTGCCCAAGCAACGGAAAGCCCTCTCAATTATTCCCGTGCAACAGGAAGTGATTAGCTCTTCTCCCAGTAAAACCAGGATTTCACTAGCACTCGATTCATCCATTTCGAGTAGGATTTCTTGGATATCGGCCAAGTAATCGTAGTTTGGATAGGTTTTAAGGGTCTCCAAATCAATTCGTCTGAAATAAAAAGTCCGGAAATACAATCTTAAATAAATCCACGCCTTTTATAGGTCCGGAAAAAATATTCTTAAATAAATCCGCGCCTTTTATAGGTCCGGAAAAAATAATCTCAAATAAATCCACGCCTTTTATAGGTCCGGTAAAAAATATTTACTAAATCCGCGCCTTATACGGGCCCCGAAAAAATAATCTTAAATAAATCCACGCCTTATACAGGTCCCGAGAAAATAATCTTAAATACATCCACGCCTTATATAGGCCCCGAAAAAATAGCCTTTAAAAAATCCACGCCTTATATAGGCCCCGAAAAAATAATCTTAAATAAATCCACGCCTTATACAGGTCCCGAGAAAATAATCTTAAATAAATCCACGCCTTATACAGGTCCCGAGAAAATAATCTTTAATACATCCACGCCTTATATAGGCCCCGAACAAATAATCTTAATTAAATCCGCGCCTTATATAGGCCCGGAACAAATGTATAAAGCATTGATTTACTTCTTATACTTACAGCTTCGATATATTTGGCCAATTTTTACGATACTTCAAAATAAGTGCTGTTACGGCAGTATTTAAATCTTCATTCTGTAAATAAAATTAAATAATTGTTAACAATAATATTTCCTTTCCTTCCTCGATTCAATTTACCGATGGCGCTGTCAACAGCTGTATGGCCATTTGTAAATGAGTCAGCGTTAGAGCATCACCGGGTTGTTCCTCATCTTCCAAGGTCCAATTGCCTGAAGGTTCTGCGACCACGGATGGTTGGCGTGACAGTGAGTCTGCACGACGAAAGTAAGGACAAGCCATTTTTGTCGCACAGTCTTGGATCACCTAATCCAGCAGCAGTAGCACACACAAAGAGAGACAGCAGAAGAGCCGTTTAAGTGGTCCTTCAGATGATGACAAGCAGACAACCGGCAAAGGAAAAACTGAAGGAACAGAAAACAAACCAAGAAATAAAACCGATGAAAATTTATGGACCAGAAAATAGAAATACATATGTACAGCAAAGGTGAATGATGAAAGAGACAATGGGCTACCAACACACACATGTACACTCGAACACTTTTTTGCACACAATATACACCTAGAAACCTATTACAATTATAGATGTGTGTAGATGTTGGGACATACATCTGTATATAATATGCATATTTGCAATTTGCATCTAACAATGCAAATTTTCATTTCATTTCCAAGTTCAATGTTAAATTTGAGGAGAATTTAAAAAAGGAAATGAAAAGGACAAATTAAATGGCCTTTTCCCAAAAATAATAGAGGGTCATTTTTATTGACAATATCTTGAGAATATATTACATTGACAAAAGGCAATCCAATTATAGATTTCATTAACACCAAAGGACATTTGCAATTTCCTTATTTGCAAAAAATGTGGTACATTAATCGAATTTCAGTGCAATAGGGTCATGTGTATACTTCACAGAGAAAAACTAAGGATACACACACAATGTTCATCCTTAACTTCAACTTGAAAACTTCATAAATTCCTCTTATTCGCTTTTATTTTCATTTTTTTCATAGCCTTTTATTTGACTTTTTCTAATTTATTTGTTATATATATTTATCATATACAATTTTTATAATATAATATAACATTTATTATTGTTATTTGTAATTTTATTGTCACTTTTTTGGTCTTAATAAACACATACACACACACCTACACTCACTCGTTCGTTCGTTCAGGACCTGCCTTTGGTGATATAAACTTGTTTGTCGTACAGCTTTAAAGGAACTGTATGCTGATTTGTTAACTGACCAAATGTGTCAGTAGGTTCTTTATGTGCGAAAAGCTTTTTTATTTTTCAGGATATGCATTGGGGCGCAAACTCCATTATCAGAAAAGCTTTATATGGGAGCTTTTCTCGTATGGAATTTGCACGCTACATGATATGTGCGGGTTTGTTAATGTTTCGTAACATTACGATTGTACCGATATTTTATAAACACATTTTAAAAAACATATAGATTCTTCTAAATACCCTCAATCCTGAGGCGTAATTTTTTGGGCTGAGCCTGGTCAATGTTCTTAAAACTGCAAAAGCTATTTACATAAGTCTCAAATTCGATTATTTTATTCGGGGAATGGAGAAGCTCACATATATCCAGGAAAACCAAGCTATAATATTCGCTTGAATAGAATCTCCAAAGATCGCGAAATAGAGGTCGACCAAGAAACACCTAGCGATTAACAATAACCCACGAAACCAAAAAGGAAAGTAGTAAAGTCGTATGGGCCGACTATATTATACCTTTCACCACTTTGGGTATATTCAACAGACAGACGTCACATTTTGAATTTGGACGAACTTAATATATGATCTATATCTACATGTATACCGACTTAAATCAATCCATACAAATTTCATTCTGCAACCTATGCTAGATTTATGCTGCAGCTCAGCGCACAGTGAAAAAATGTAATAATTCACAAAAAGTCGGTCTAAATATATAAGTGAGTTATGTCTATGTCATTCCAGGCTCGGACGAAAATATATACACTGGTGGCCAAAACTAAAGCAATTGAAATTGCAGACTGAATTATTGGCCTCTAATTTTTTTTTAAAAAAATAAACTTATAAAGTATTTTCAGAAGTAAAGACGTAATTTATTTGCTTTGAAAAAAAAACAACATATTAAAAAAATAAATTTACCCAATTTTTGCTTGGTAAAAATTAAAGCAACTTTTAGATTTTAGCATCTTTGTAGAACCATTGAGATGGGATCGGGCGACATAGATATTTGAAACCATAAAAAAAATTAATAAACACAAGATTCTGAAATCGGTCAAAAATTTCATGTAAAACAGACAGACTTAGAGTCTTTGGTGTGCTATTTGTATGAAATCGAGGAAAATTATGTATCGGATCTATATGTAAACATGGACCGAATTGAACAACCGTTGCATACACATCACTCTACACTAAATTTAAAGCCCTCTGCCAAATTTCGTGTAAATCGAAAAAAACATAGGCACTTTGGTGCACCATTTACATAAGATCGGACGATCGCATACATAAGTATGGATATAATTCAGTACGCTGTGTACAATTTTGTCTCACTCAGACAAATATTGGGAGTTTGGTGCATCATTCAAATAAAATCGGATGAAACTATATATGGGAGCTATATCTAAATCTGAACCGATTTGAACTAAACATCGCATACATCAACCGGGACCTAGTTCAGTACGTTGTGCAAGATTTTGTGTCAATGGGATAAATATTGGGTCTTGGTGAGCCATTCACATAAAATAGGACGAAGCTATATCTAAATGCGAACTGATTTCAACAAAATTTAGCAAACATAAGTATGTGCCTAATTCAATACTATGGGCAAAATTGTGTGTCAATGGAACAAATATTGGGAGCTTGGTGTGTCATTCACATAAAATCGGACAAAAGTATATATGGGAGCTATATCTAAATCTGAACCGATTTCAACAGAACTTATGACCTTGATTTTGTCTCAATCGAATAAATATTAGGAGTTTGGTGTACTATTTAGATAAAATAGGACGAAAATATATATGGGAGCTTTATCTAAATCTGAACCGATTGTGACCTGTGTCACATTTTATTCAATTCGGATCATAAGTGCGACTTGTACTTTGTTTACAATTTAATATGGACGGACATGCTTAAATCGAAAATCAACCCAATACAATTATTGGCCCACTTCCATGCACTCACTTTTATATCCTTCACTACACTGTGGTTCAGAATACTATGTCATTGTGTATATGTTTGTAACAAGCAAAATTAAACGAGATTGTTTTTTTTTTTAAGAATATGCTGTATTTTGGTCTGTCTGTCCATGTTAAATTGTAAACAAAGCACAGGTCGCATTTATGATCCGAATTGGATGCAATTTGGTACAGCTCATTTATTTGGTTTCTGGACATGTAGACCTGCTACCGCATCTCGTCCACGCTCCATTCTTGAGGTTGTATCCAACGATAACCCTCTCCCCATTACCGTTGAACACTTAATTGGGCATTTCTTAATGATATGACAACTGATATTTCTCGCGGCCTCCCTCCGTGATGAACTGTCACTACTGATACAGTTACAATAAAACCAACTTATATCGGTGTATTGTATTTGTATCTAGCCATTTTTATATATTTTTTCCAGTAATAAAATCCTTTTAAAAATAATCTATAATAATCGAAATAAGTATTGAAACCCAAACATAGTATTTATAACCGTAAAATCAACTAAAAGTTGCTTCAGTTTTGTCCAATCAAAAATAGAGTAAAATTCATTTTCCATTTTTTATTATTTATGTCAAGATTTTTGTAAAATTTTTAAAAAGTTATTCGTCATTTATTATCTTTGTAATTTTAGTTGCTTTTGTTTTAGCCTTCTGTGTTTTTGTTTATTAATTTATATCTAAATACACTTGCAATCATTGAGAAGAACAATTCATGTTTGCAGAGCAACCACCTAAAATTGTGTGATTTTTTCTTTAATATCGTAAGTAACTCATTCTCGCTTAATATCGTATAAAAAGGTAATATTTTTATTCTTTGTTGTCAAATTAGTACTAGTTACTAAAGGTTTTTTACTAGTGCTGGAACTATCTATATACAATTCATTGTCATTTTAATTTCTAGCGGGTATTGATATGATGTAGAGTAATATAGTGGTCGTTACTATCAATTACAACCCATATATGTAGGTCATAATATTAGTCAAAGCTTTGCTCCACCTGTTGATTGTTTACATTATTTTAAAACTTTCAATTGAAGCATAAAATAAGCTTTCTCTTAGAATAACAAAAATTCATAACAAATCTCTCACAAATATAAACTTTCTCTCAATTAATTTCCCCAAGAGAGCTTCTCAGTGGGTTCGACAAAATATCCCAAGTGAGAATCGTTAGGCGATTGTGATAGGGCGGGAGGCAGAAAAATAAAACGCATTTCAAACAAAAACAAACCTTCACCAACACATAAATTTGTTTGTTATCTGTAAAGCTCTGTTTTGTTGTTGTTGGTGGCTAGTGTACTTACCGGCTCGTGAGCGAGATAAACACATACAATGTATATAGATTTGTTTGTGGAATTTTCAAGCAAAAAAACATATTTGAGGCAAACAGCCAGCCAGCCAGACCTTTGGCACTAATTAGATGCATGAGTGAGAGTTTTCGCCGTAGTCCGCAGCTATGTTAGTTAGTCGGTGGCAGTCAATTTAGTAAAACAGTTCGTCGTTCGCACAGCACAGGCACGCTTTAATCATTTGTTAGAGTAACGTGTTTGTGGGTACGTGTGTGTGCGTGTTTTGTGTTTGCGAGTGGGGTCAATCACTTGAGTATCTCGGTTTTACATTGAACTGAAAACAATAAATAAAAAAGAAAACATCAACAAAACTGCACGCAATTTTGCATACATTGTCTCTAGTGAAAAAAGCACTGGGCTTTTCTGCGGAAAATCATTACCGGAAATTTACAAAATGACGGATTTAATTCAGCTTGTAAGTCCTCATCATCCGCAACATGCAGAGGTACGGGTATCCAAAGAATTTTTCTTTTTGTATTTATTATTGCTTTGTTTGGGCTTTAAACTGCTATTGGCTTTCAAAATTCATTACAACAATAATCATAATGCTAATCTAATTAATCGCCCGGAATTCTATGGATTTCCTCAACCTTTGCATGCTTTGTGGATATTTTTCGAAATTGTGTTGCAATTACAGAAAAACCCCGTTTGCCTAATTTTATTTGCAATTTATTTCGGATGTGCTATTCACTTTAATTGTGATTTATGTTCGCATTTTTTAAATTTGCTCTAAGACAAGGTTTCGTTTCGTGCGCGCCCTTTGTGCCTTTGTTATTGTTGAAGTTGGAAAAACAAAAAGTTATGTTTTTCTGTGCGTCCTTGACCTTGTCCGTCTGTATGTTTTGTCTGTGCGTAGTTGTGCAATAATAACAGATTTGTAAGAGAGTGGAGCTTTTTTCACGAAAAAAGATGTGTAGATGAAAAAAGCTTTTATATAACGAATGGAAGGATATGCTTGGTTGTAAGAGGTGTCGTTGGAGATGCCTCTGAGCGGGTCATGAAGATAAATTCGGTTTTGTATTAACAAGTGCTGTAAGTTTTAAAGCGAAATGTGTACCTAAATGAGAAGTTTGGAATGTGGGTTGTTGTTGATGTGCAGTCGTGAGATAAGTCTGGATTTTTGGAAATTCGAACTATAAGGGTACGGAAAGTACTAAAATGTAGTAAATTTGGCACATTTTGTGTTAAAAAACGCGAAGACATAGAACTCTGAAATTTGGAATGTGGGTTCGAAAGATGTACAAAAGGGGGAAAAAGAAATCCATTAGACAGGTCGTCAAAAATGTCGATAAAATCAGAGAAATGATCGAAGTTTACCAGCATGTTAGTAGTCGTAACATCGCCCAGGAGTTATAAAATGGACCCAGGAGCTAAAAATCGACCATAAACCACTTACACAAAACTGGATTCAAAAAGAAGCTCGATGTTTGGGTGTCACACCAATTAAGAGAAAAAAATAGAATGGATCGAATTTCGACTAACGAAAATGGCTAACGGAATTAGATAGACCCATTTCCTAAACGGATGGTGACTGGAGATGATAAAGGGATCAGATACGATAACCCTGTGTGAAAACGGTCGTGATCAAAGAGCGTTGAAGCACCTCAAACGGTGGTTAAACCAGGAAGAACGACCAGGAAGGTTCTGCTACGCATTTGGTGGGACTACAAGGGGATTATTCTTATTCTGATCCATAGTGCCAACAACTGGACCGTTTGAAGATAGCAATTGAAGAAAAACGGCCAGCATTAGAGGTGTCTACCACACACATCTACAGTGAATCGTCAGAAAATTCGTGAGCTTGGTTGGGAAGTTTTAATCCATCCGCCATACAGTCCGGACTTGGCACCAACCGAAAATCATCTTTCTCTTGCATTGCAAAATGTCTTTAATGATAAAAAAAATGGGTGGGAGGATTGTGATAATCGATTACTAGAGTTTTTTTTAATAGAGAGCAGGACTTATATGAGAGAGGCATTATGAAGTTACCATTAAAGTGCTGAATTAAACCATATTTGGTACCTGTAGATCTTTACTAAAATATATAATTGGAATTCTGATCACTTTTGAATCTGTATAATGGAAATGAGAAAGAGATATCGGAAATTAGTGCTTATGTGTTTGAGGGGTGCTAAATTATAATAAACTTGATATGAGATGGAATTCGGAATTATACAATATTCACAATTTGTATATAAAATATAATTTATATGGGTTTATCAAAAAGGACTTCCAATATTCATCGAACATTGATAATAAATGCGATCTCAGTTTTAGTAAAAAAGTCAAACGCGCTAAACTTTTTATACCCCAAAATACCAAAAATCTATCGAGGCTTTTACATGGGAGATATGTCACGTCCATGGAAATTTTATACCCAATTAAATGTCAAACTATAGTCAATTCCGTTGGTTTGAAATTTCCAGTCCACATGTAAACCACAAAAAAAAAACAAGCTAAATTGTTTTTATGGCAGGCGTATCGCGCTAACACTATCGTTTTCAATAAGTTGTTGCTGTAGCTCTGCAAGACCTGTTGGGGTGCATTTTATCAATATTATCTTTAATTGGTCTTTAATCTAATCGCTGTTATTTTTATACTGTTATTATGGATTTGTAGATATGGTAGCTATTTGATTATTCAAACATAAAAAAATATTTCCGTGGATTCGGTTGGTAATAAGAATCTGTTTAAAAAAGTGGATTAAGGGCGCCATTAATGAACATATTGTATGAAATCTTATTAACTATTATAAGGATAGTTAAGGAAAATTCTGTGGGTCCTACAGTCTAACTTAGAAGGAACAATCGTTTCGCATGTTACTTTTTTCAGATTTTAACCATAATTTCATGTATTCCTAGAAACTTCCATTAAAAATTACAAGAGCTGCATTTGAATAATCTGTCATCGCTGCCAGATCATATGATCTGTAAGTTATCTCGATTTCAAGCAGATGAACAATACGTCTAATGTAAGCCGAAGATATATCAGACGTCTCATTGATCAGAGTTTATAAGGTATACATTAGTTCTAAAACTACAGAATATGTAATATTAATGCTTAAAAAAAGAATCGGATATAATGAACGATCATTGAACGATAAACAAGCAAATATAACTACTAGCAGATAAGCTTGTGATAACGTCGTTAGACTGGGCCCAAACTCACATTACTTTAATAGGCCGGAACTTTTATAAGTCACAACTAAGTCAAAACATCTACTGAAACAAGTAAAAAAGTGTCAAAGGTATTGCCGACAAATATATATCGCCAGCTTATGGTTTGTTTTTTTTATCAAAGAATTGACCACCTTTGGAGAGGTACCAGAAGAAGTTGACCCCATTTAAGAATTTATTGTACGTTTGAAAAAAGTTTAGTTCAAATTGGAAAGACCGTTCGCATGATATTATAAAATGAATTTTCAGCAAAATTTTGACCATTTTGTTGAGAGGTAACAGAAGGAGTGAACGATTGCCCACACCTTCGACGTTGATTTGAATTTAAAAGAAATATTACTATGTGCATATTTGATATAAAATCGGACTTTCGAAACCATTGTTATTGGATTATCAAATTTTCAGAACTTAGGTAAGGTTAGGTACCAGAAGGAGTGGACCGATATTCCCCATCTTCGAACTTGAGTTATGTTTTAAGAAATATTACAACGTACAAAGTTTGTATGAAATCGGTTACACCCTTCGAGAGTTATCGTGTGCACCAGCCGGCCAGATAGACAGAGGACATTTGTAAATTGACTACATTGTCTCCAATTGTCTGAAACGGATTTGGTTTAAAGAAACAAACCAATATTTCGATGAGGTACATTCTTGCGTATCAAAGTGTATATACCCCTAGAAGCCATAGAGCTGAGGGTATGACAATTATAACAACTTCAGTGGAAAATTGGCTAAAAGTTTCAAAATATCGGGACCTTTATATGGAGGCTGAAATTCGATGGAAAAATGCTGGTAAAAACTAAATAATTCCTGTATTATTATTTTAGTGGATAGATTAATTTGAGGGACGCATATATGGAGGCTATGCCAAAACGTGGGCTAATATATCCCATTTTGAATAGCAAACATCAACCTACTTAGCTAGCTTATGACAGAACGCTTGTTCCATAGGTCGAGGTTAAAAAGATTTCCAGGCGCGTCGGTCTCATCCAATTTGAAAGACCATTTCCAAGAGGTTTTCTTCTAATTGATCTTTCAATCGGATTGGTGGCCTTCCGATTTGCTACATCTGAAGACGCATTGGTATGGTCCAAAAATGGCTTCAGTCGTTCACACAGCACGCTGGATAGCACTTTATATGCAATGGGAAGGAGACTTCCTCTGGCCAAATTGTACTAATCAGCTGGTGCATGCTCTTGACCAGCATCTGACCACCGGTCTTGAATAGTTCGGCTGTCATCGGCACTTGCTGCTTTATTGTTCTTCAGCCGATTAATTGCTACTCTGACCTCACCTTGGCTATGTGGTATTTACTCCATGCCGTCATCTCTTATTGGTTCTGGGGTATTATCTTCACCGCCAATATTTGATACCAGAAGCTTTTATTTTGAAAAGCTCCTTCCTCCTTCCAGATTATCAATACGCTGTCTGTATCTGTCACCAGGTTTCCTCCTTCATCACTACAGGGGGATGTGCCTGCACCAAATCCGGACTTCATTGTGTCTTCTGTACATCTTGATTTGCTCCCGCTAACGTTTTTCTTGTTCCTTCTTCTTTTTTCTGAAAATACGTTTCTCCTCTCTTATTTTCTCCCGATAATTTCCCATCGTATTACGTGTTGCTACTATATGCAGTGTTGGTCTATACGCTGCGTTTTTCGCCTCAGTAGCATTATGACACTTAGTGCTACTGTAACTAAACATGCTTCAACTTAAAAAATCAATTGTAAATCCATAGCTCCTGGACATATATGGCTTTCAGCCGAATCATTGAAAATCATTGAATAAAATGTTCTATATTATCTTTAATCTTTTCCAGTGTAAAAGTCAAGCCCTTTATTTGGCCCCCTTTCTCAACTTTGTGGTACTGTACTTTGTCTTCGTGAGAGATCCCCATGGTGAATTATGGACAACCATTTTGAAATGTGCTCCCATTGTCAGTTTGATGTTTTTCGTGCTAATCAAAGGATTCGCCTTCAACAAACAGTAAGTATATCTTTGTTTAAAATCCGTCCTTCTTTTGAAATCTAAATTTTAATTTTATTCCTTTTATTTCAGATACAAATATTCCCAACTGATACTCATTGGTTTGATTTTCTCCTGTGGTGGTGATGTTTTGCTCAATATTGATTTGTTCCCACATGGCATGGGTTCATTTGCCGTTGCTCAAATCTTTTACATATCAGCATTCGGATTTAAGCCACTGAATTGGAAATTGGGAATACCGATTTATATATTGTGGGGTTTAAGTAAGGGAGAAACAAATTGGTGGTATTTTTACAGATTTAATTAGAATATTGTATTTTTTTCCTTTTAGGCATTGGCTTGGTTGGCAGTCGTCTTGAGGGCGTTTTGATTGTCGGCCTACCGATCTATGGTTTCCTCCTGCTGACAATGTGTTATCGTTCCCTGGCCCGTGCTGTACACCACAAAACTCCGATTTATATTTTGTGTGGAATTTGCAGTGTGTTGTTTGTTATGTCCGATGCCATGATTGCTATCGATATGTTCCTGATAACAATTCCCCATGCAAGGGTAGGTTTTGAACATATCTTAGGGAAATTTGAACTTTAATGTTTTTTCTTTTATAGCTCTGGATCATGATCACCTACTATGCAGCTCAATTTGGCATTGCTCTAAGCACGACCACTGACATCTCGAAAAAGAAGCCCGGCAAAATGTCACCCAAGAAGATGAGCCGCAACAACAACAGTGTTCGTCGTCGTGTCAAATAAAAAAGAAGACTGATTTAAACCAAAACTTCCTCTGAAACACAACATTAAGTATAATCTAAAAGAAAATACTTTTCGTATCCACCAAACAAAAATGTAACCGAAATACTTCCATAACCTGTGTATTATCTTAAAACAAGAAAAAAATCCTAAAGAAAAAAATACTTAACCTAACCTTGTTAACTAGTTTGTAGTTAGTTGAAATGTTTGTTCAAATCCACTTATCTTCCAACAAAGACCCCAAAATATATACAAACTTGTTAAAACTCAATTCTTGAAACAAAATTAGTAAAAAATATGCACAGTGACGTATCATTAGATGATTTAATCATTAAAACCAAGAAAAAAATAAAAAATAATACAAATGCCAATTATTTAGATGAAATTATTATATATCTATTATAAAAAAATTATAAAATTGTACAAATTTTTGTAGATTAATGTTAAATGTTTGTGTGACCTTTTGTGAAATAAATAAAAGTAAAAGAATTGTTAAACAATCCTGTTTTTATACCCTTCACCACACTGTGGTACAGGGTATTATGTCTTTGTGCATATGTTTGTAACAGGCAAAAGGAAATGAGATAGACACATGGTTCCTTTTGAGAATATGCATAGAATCACTTTCTTAGTCGATTTATGCATGTCCGTCCGTCCGTCTGCTCATGTTAAAATGTAAACAAAGTACAAGTCGCATTTATGATCCGAATTGGATGAAATGTGGCATAGATCACTTGTTTGGCCCAAGGACGAACCCTATTGAAATTGGGAAAAATCGGTTCAGATGTAGATATAGCTCCCATATATATTTTTCGACCGATTTAATATAAACGGTCACCATATATCTTTCGAATTAGGTCTAGAATGATGTGTGTAAAATTTCATAAAAATCGGTTCAGATTTAGATATAGCTCCCATATATGTTTTCGTCCGATTTAAGGTAAAAGGTGCACCAAAGTCCCTATATATCTTTCGATTTGTACGAAATTTGGCACAGCGTAATGAATTAGGTCTAGAATAATATGTGTAAAATTTCATAGAAATCGGTTAAGATTTAGATATAGCCCCCATATATATTTTCGTCCCATTTAAGGTAAATTGTGCACCAAAGTCTCTAAATAGCTTTCGATTTGTACGAAATTTGGCACAGCGTACTGAATTAGGTCTAGAATGCTGTGCGTTAAGTTTCATGAAAATCGGTTCAGATTTAGATATAGCTCCCATATATATTTTCGTCCTATTTAAGGTAAATGGTGTACAAAAGTTCCTTTATATATTTCGATTTGCACGAAATTTGGCACATAGTAATAAATTAGGTCTAGAATGATGTGTGTAAAATTTCATATAAATCGGTTCAGATTTTGATATAACTCCCATATATATTTTCGTCCGATTTTATGTAAATGGTGCACCAAAGTCCCTATATATCTTTCGATTTGCACGAAATTTGGCACAGCGTAATGAATTAGGTCTAGAATGATGTGCGTTAAGTTTCATGAAAATCGGTTAAAATTTGGATATAGCTCCCATATATATTTTCTTCCGATTTTAGGAAAATGGTGCACCAAAGTCCTATATATCCTTCGATTTGCACGAAATTTGGCATAGCGTACTGAAATAAGTCTAGAAATATGTTTTTTTAATTTCGTTAAAATCGGTTCAGATTTAGATCTAGATCCCATATATATATTTTCCGATTTTAAGTAAATGGTGCATCAAAGTCCCTATATGTTTTTATATATAACAAAGAACTCAAAATGTGGCCGAATACACAAAACATACTAAAATAAGTGTAACTTAACATGTGGCAAGTTTCGATAAAAACGGTTTACATTTAGATATTTTGCTTTAAATTAATTTACATAATTTTGTCCTATTGTACGAAGCAACTCTATATCTGACCAAAATGTATAGGTTGCAGAAAGACCTGTTTAATTTCATGCTAATGGTCCTTCAAAAATGAGACGTCTGTTAGTCTTCAATCTGTTGAATATACCCAAAGTGGTGAAGGGTATCATATAGTCGGCCCCGTCCGACTTTACTACTTTCGTTACTGGTTAATATTAATATTCTGTTTTTAATATTGAGCAACACGTCTGAAATCCTCAAGAAATACATGGAAGAATTATTGCGTGACAATTCTTCCTTCTATTTCTTGAGAACTCAAAGTCTCAATTTATTCAGATACCGAATAATGGTAAGTACCGCTATATGACATCTAAGCCGAATCTCGGCTTATAATTTTCTAGGAAAAATTTTCTACCCAATGGGAATCCGAAATATAAACCAGTAAGGAAAGTAGTAAAGTCGGACTGGGCTGACTTTATGATACTCTTCACCACTTTGGGTAAATTGTACATATGTATCCTTACAATTGCATGTCAATGTTCCCTCGAAGGAATATACTCCTGTCTTTCTGCAACCTGTGATAAATTTAATTTAATTTGGGCAGATTTAGAGCCGTCCGCGTACCATGGGACAAATGTATGGGAAACGATTTATATCAAAATTCATGCCTCAATTTGATACGTTGTGCAAAATTTCGTGTTAATCGGACAAACATTTGGAGTTTCGTGCACCATTTAGGTAAAATCGGACGAATATATATGTATATGTGGCAGCAATATTGAAATCTGAACCGATTTTTTCGAAACTTACCACACATCATTGTAGACTCAATTCAGTACGCAATGCCAAATTTAGTGCGAATCGAAGAATATCGGACGAATATATATATGGGAACAATATCTAAATCTGAACCAATTTTCACGAAACTTTACACACATCACTCTAGACTTAATTCAGTCCGCTATGCCAAATTTCGTGCAAATCGAAGGATATTAAGTGACTTTAGGGCATCATTTACCTTAAATCGGACGAAAATATATATGGGAGCTGTATCTGAACCGATTTTCACGAAACTTAACACACATCACTCTAGACTTAATTTAGTACGCTACGCCAAATTTCGTGCAAATCGAAGGTTATAAATAGACTTTTGCATATCGGAGGGTCTTTGGTGCACTATTTACCTAAAATCGGACGAAAATATATATGGGAGCTATATCTAAATCTGAACCGATTTTCCCAATTTTAATAGAATTCGTCCTTGGTCCAAATAAATAACTATGCCAAATTAACATGGACAGACGGACGAATGGACGGACTGACATGCATAAATCTACTTAAAAAGTGATTCTATGCATATTCTCAAATGGAACCATGTGTCTATCTCGTTTCCTTTTGTCTGTTAAAAACATATGCACAAATACATAATACCCTGTACCACAGTGCGATGAAGGGTATAAAAAGGATTAAATAATAAATCCTGGGTTTTTAAAACAATATGTTTTATTAGCTCCCATCTCTGATCCACACAATATATTAACAAGGCGAAAATATATGCTTACATATATTTCGAGCGAAAATACTTTAACGAACCTAAGATACAAACCAATGCTACGCGTAGTAACACTATTGACCGCTACATCTAGTTGTGGCGCACCGGTATATATTATTAACATATGAATTGATATACCTCTGATTTATTCGCCCTATGAAGCGAATCATTTCCTCGTTTTTTTTTCTTCACAATTTGTAGTTTTTTAATTGAAAGACGCGTGGGCATGGCATAATTATGGAAGGTAGTCTCATTGGAAAAGTTGACAATGGCAATTCTTTTTAATTAGTTTGCGGCATACAAAACTATCTGACTGGGATGTCAAAATTTGCTCCTGTATTTACTACATTATGGTTACCTGGTTATCGTTTTAATGCCTCGAACAAACAGGCGATATATCTATGGGGTGCACTCACCGTTTAACACATGAGTATATCCCCATTGCACCATTCTGTTTTCCGAAGTAGAAGGCTTAAAATTGCATGGGGCGACACACATATTCCGTTTTTATCACCAAATTTGAATTGATACCAGAAATAAGGTTTGGTTGGATATACATCGGAAATATTATTATGTTTTTTACGGCTCTTAGACTTCCGGAATGAATTTATCTGCTTGCAAAGCGTCTGGAATTTCTTCTCAATTTCCCCTAAACTAGAAATGTGTAGTTCGCGAACGAACTAGTTCAGATGCACGCTTCAGTTGAACAAGCATTTGAACTAGTTCAAAGTCGTTCATCTATCCGAAATATTAGATCGTTTGTTCTATGACAAAAGTTTGTCTTAGCCTAAGCTTAAAGCAACGAAAAACGTTTTTATGTAGAAAGCATTATGGTTATATTAAGGTATATTGCGATCAATGTTAATGTTGCAAAGAAAAAATTTTGGTCGAACTATTACAGAAGCAAAAAAACATTCTTAAGGAAAAAAATGCAAAACTCCTGTATTTACAATACCTACGTTTGGGAACTAAATAGCAAAGATCGTTCCGTGTACGATTCACAATCGTCGTTCACTAATGTATCTGTATCGGCAAAATATCCATGAGAGCTGAACTGGAAAGAGCGAGCTTCTTAATGAACTAAAAAGTACGACTCTACTCTAAACGAGTGCTCGAGGGAGAAAAGATGCACACATTTTATTCAGCAATCTTGTCGGTCATCGTTGACAATTTTTCAACACCGGCTTAACTAATGGACAGTATTGCCTTCATATTTAAAAGATGGTACATCCAGAATTGCTTCAAAATGTCGTTTGAAATCTTACCCTATGAAAAAGGCCGCACTTCAGGAAATAATTCTGAAGGTTTCTTGTCTCCTTTAAGTATACCGAACGTCATATCTCGACTAGCCGAGTCAATCTAGACATGTGTGTCCGTCCGTCCATTATAATTTGTAAACACGATACACACCACAGTTATGGATCAATCTTCACGAAATTTTGCATGTAGGATGGGTTCTGCCCAATGATTTTTTTTGGTAAACTTTTGGTAAAGATCTACTTAAATGCAATAAATTATCCATAAAATAATTGTATATATCTCTCGTTTTATCAAATTAGTTTAGCTTCTACCGTTCTTGATGATAAAACCACTTCTTCTACAGTTCACGAACGAACTAGCTCACTGAAAAGAGCTATTGAACTAGTTCTTACAAAGTTGTTCTTTTTTAGTTCATTAAAACTTTTTACTTTTTACTAACCTACTTTGATTTGGTCTAAATGAAAGCGATGTCGATCGCGTTTTATATTGTATATGGTACGATACTATATTATTTTTTTCGGAATTTTTGAGATTAAAAAGAAGTAATAGGTCCATAAAATCTTCTAAACCTTTTCATTACAAATACACATCCAATAGATCCATAAGTTCTTCTGAAACTTTACATAAAAAACCATGCCTAATAGTTTCACGAATTCTTCTTCGAAGGCCTATCCGAATTTTCCGTTTTCTCGAATCGTAAATAACTTCAGACACTGTTTTGACAAAGACCCCATATCAAAGCCTCACTAATTTAAAATTTTAGGAATATGGAGTTTAAAAAGTTTTACCCTGTCCAATTTTATTTCTTATAAACAACAACTGATCCGTTTATTATTTTTTCATTTTGGATACTCCTTTACGCTTTACCACTGTAATACGACGTCTCTTTTGCCTTGTGGATAATTTATATAAACCGAATATAACAAGTTCTCTAATAATGGCATATACAACTTCGGCGATACTTAGCACAGAAGCGCCCAAAAACAACCCCAATATGCCACCGAAATTTGATACCAGATCCAAATAGGTATACTGCAAACGAGATGAATATTTTGTTATCGTATTTTTGCCAAAATAAACTTCACCGGATATTACGGGCATCGTATCATTGGGACTAGAAGATATAACGATGTAATAAAATATGTAGAAATGGTTGAAATTATTCCGCGACTTACATGGGCAATGGCAAGACATTTAATTTGACCAAAAACAACAACGATTGACAGCTATTAAGGCAATCACATGACATACCACGTCTGGTGTCATTGATATACTCATCCTGATCGGGTTCTTTTAAATAATTGAAAATATCTGGGAGAAAAAAAGGTAATGTTAACAAAAATATTATCGGAATGTGCATCCCCTTTACTTACCACTATGGTCATACATGCACTGCAAATCAGAGACCTTGCATTCCTTCTCGGGTTGGTTGGCTGAAAGTTGTAGAATTGAATTTCAAAATCAAATATTATAATCTGCAGCAGCATTTCTTACGTATTCCCGGGAAGAACATCGATGTTGTACAGTTACAGGTATTCAGTAAAAATTTCTCCTCACATCGTACCAGGCAATTGTATTTGTGGAATGTCAGACCATCGATTTGATCGTATTTTGTCATTTCATCCTAGGAGCAGTAAATTACAAATTTTTAACTTCCCCAGCATAGATACGGACCCTAAGTATTCAAATTTGTTACTTACCGCAAATACACATTTCCGTTTGGCTGGAGCTATGTGGCGAGTATTTCTGGAGGTTTCAGTGATTATCGGTGTCACCATCAGACTATTGTGGGTATTTTTTTGCAGAATGTGAAATAACGTGTCACTCCATTCGTCAGCTTCTTTTACAAGAACCTAAAAAATATGAAGAGGTAAGTTGAATCTTCACTTCAGACTGGCTGAATTATGATTTCTATAAGAAATCTTCAATTCAGCATGGCTGAATTATGATTTCTATAGGAAATCTTCAATTCAGTCTGCCTGAATTATGATTTCTACAGGAAATCTTCAATTCAGCCTGGCTGAATTATGATTTCTATAGGAAATCTTCAATTCAGCCTGGCTGAATTATGATTTCTATAGGAAATCTTCAATTCAGCCTGGCTGAATTATGATTTCTATAGGAAATCTTCAATTCAGCCTGGCTGAATTATGATTTCTATAGGAAATCTTCAATTCAGCCTGGCTGAATTATGATTTCTATAGGAAATCTTCAATTCAGCCTGGCTGAATTATGATTTCTATAGGAAATCTTCAATTCAGCCTGGCTGAATTATGATTTCTATAGGAAATCTTCAATTCAGCCTGGCTGAATTATGACTTCTATAGGAAATCTTCAATTCAGCCTGGCTGAATTATGATTTCTATAGGAAATCTTCAATTCAGCCTGGCTGAATTATGATTTCTATAGGAAATCTTCAATTCAGCCTGGCTGAATTATGTCTTCTATAGGAAATCTTCAATTCAGCCTGGCTGAATTATGATTTCTATAGGAAATCTTCAATTCAGCCTGGCTGAATTATGACTTCTATAGGAAATCTTCAATTCAGCCTGGCTGAATTATGATTTCTATAGGAAATCTTCAATTCAGCCTGGCTGAATTATGATTTCTAAAGGAAAAATTGTATTCAGTCCGGCTTAACTATAAATTTATTGAGAAAACTTACCGTAAAGGCAAAGGGTATGGTTGTTCCCGGCCTAACCAGACTGCTATTATATCTTAACCTGAATGATAGCCCAGATCCTTCTCCTCCATATCGAGCTCTCCAGGGATAAAAATTGTCGGTCAGCTGCAATTTTTCGATGTTTTGATATTAGTTTCCTATATAGTTTCTCAATATTACCTTCTTTATTCTCGACTCTTTCGATATAACCGAATTAAAAACCAAACATGGACCCCTACCGGTATATTCGGGAACAAAAATTTTACAGCAGTCATGTTGAGTATTATCAAAACTACACCAAATAAAAATTTCATCACAACGCAGAGCCATAAATTTCGCCACATCTGAGAGTACAATATTTTCAACGGATCGGGGTATGTTTTTGGTCTTCAAAAACTCATCAATACTGCTTAGTCTGGTAAAGGTCATTCGATCCAACAATACCATTAGATTATAAAACGCTGTCTTAGCTTCTTTGGCGGCATAACGTGGCAGAAATCTGGCCTCAGCTGCCTTATAACGCATCCAATTGATGTGATTAACCGGACAGATAGCAACAGCAGGGAATGGAATTTCATAAATGGGTAAATGTGACGTTTCCACCACTGTCACAAGGACTTCTTCACGATGGCGTTGCGTAACCGTATTATAGAGCAGAATGCAGCCGATTAGTGCCGTCGTAACAATCAAACACCAAAATATCCGTACCACCGGTTTGGTGTGTGGTTCCCAAATGTGATTTACACCATGAATGGTGTTCTGGCAAAATTTCAATAAACGATGGGCTAGTCTTATCTGTATTTGTTTTTCTGCAGGTGTGGGTGGTTCTGGAGCTTCCTTGAAAATAAGCAATCCCTGAGGGTGATTGAAGTTGGTCTTTTTAAAGTAAACCAATTCGTTGGGATAATACATGACAGTGAGTTGTTGTGTTGACGACTTCCGAAGCGGGACTGTTCGGTTTCCTTTTTTCCTTTATGAACATATGTTGTTCCGATAATGCGGACATATTTCTTTATTATTTAATTACACGTTAGCCCTGTTTTATTTTCGAACATAAAAGTTTCAATGCAATATTCCTCTGGCTAATGTTTCAATTACCCATACACGTGTTAAACTTTTATTCTGTATGTATGTATTTATGCAATTAGGGTTACAAACATACAGGAAATAAAGTTATAATCGGAAAGTTGGTTTGGTGGTGACAGGAAGGCATATCCGCTTATTTATTAATGTCATCACTAGTTGCTAACTGTTCCAGATTTTTTTGTATATCCTAGTCATATTTTTTGTAAATAGAAGTTCATAGAAAATTGTCAATGTGACCTGATTAAAGACCATAATAACTTTGATGGAAAAAAGTCGGACGCCATGCTCGCCAAATCCGGACGCCATTCATAATACTTGTAATTAGGTTAAATTTTCGCTCAATACACTCTTATTTAATGCCCAGGGACGAACATTTGATACCGATGTGTCGAGCAATAAAAATTGTCTAAAAAACAGTCTGAACCGTTATATGGTACCGATGTCTTTGTTAATTGTCTGCTAGTAGGATGAGAAGATTAAACTGCAGATACTCAGGTTTGAAACTAGGAACTTCTACGTACTAAAACTTAAGCATACCATTATATTAGGTTGGGGAAAAAGAAATCCATTAGACCGGTCTTCGAAAATGTCGATAAAATCGGAGAAATGATCGACGGCTTATTGGCAGTCTTAAGGAGATAAAAATCGACTATAAAACTGTTTTAAACCATTTACACAAAGCTGGATTCAAAAAACAAAAAAAAAAACAAAAAAAAAAAAAATAGGATGGATCGAGTTTCCATTTGCGAAGCCTTGACCAAACGGAATGAGATAGACTCATTTCTTAAACAGATGGTGAGAAATGGATCACATACGATAACCTTGTACGAAAACGATCGATTGTACGAAAACGAACAATGAGCGATGAAGCACCTCAAACGGTGGCCATAGCAGGACTACCACCAGGAAGGTTCTGCTATGCATTTGGTGGGACTGGAAGGGTATTAAGTATTATGTGTTGCTTCCATATGGCCAAACGCTTAATTCTGATCTCTACTGATCAGAAACGGCCAGAATTGACCAATAGGAGAGGTGTCGTGTTTCAACAGCACAACGCTAGTCCACACACATTTACAGTGACTCGCCAGAAACTTCGGGAACTTGGCTGGGAAGTACTAATTCATCCGCCGAACTTGGCACCAAGCGATTATCATCTCTTTTTTGCATTGCAAAATTTCTTTAATGATTATTAAAGTAGGACTGGGCAACTTTGGGTATAGTTTACATATATATCCTAACAATTTCATGTCAATGCCCGAAGGAGAATTGACATTGGCGCAATTTAGTACGCCATGTAAAATTTCGTGCAGATCGAAAGGTATATGGATACTTTGGTGCACCAACTACATAAAATCGGACCAATCTATATATGGGAGCTATATCTAAATCTGAACCGATTTTCACGAAACTTAGCACACATAATTCTACACTCAATTCAGTACCCTATGCCAAATTTCGTGCAAATGGAAAGATATATAGGGTCTTTGGTGCACCATTTACATTAAATCGGACGAAAATATATATGGGAGCTACATTTACTTCTGAACCGATTTTCACGTAACTTAACACACATCATTCTACACTCAATTTAGTACCCTATGCCAAATTTCGTGCAAATCGAAAGATAAATAGGAACCTTGGTGCACCATTTGTCTTAAATCGGACGAAAATATCTATGGGAGCTATATTTAAATCTGAACCGATTTTCACGAAACTTAACACACATCATTCTACACTTAATTCAGTACGCTATGCCAAATTTCGTGCAAACCGAAAGATACATAGGGACTTTGGTACACCAATTACATAAAATCGGACGAAACTATATAAGGGAGCTATATCTAAATCTTAACCGATTTTTATGAAACTTAACACACATCATTCAAGACGTAATTCATTACGTTGTGCAAAATTTCGTGCAAACCTAAAGATATTAAGGTACTTTGGTGCACCATTTACATTAAATCGCACGAAAATATATATGGGAGCTATATCTAAATCTGAACCGATTTTCACGAAACTTAACACACATCATTCTAAACCCATTTCATTACGCTGTGCCAGATTTCGTGCAAATCGAGAAATATATAGGGACTTTGGTGCACCATTTACATAAAATCGGACGAAAATATATATGGGAGCTACATTTAATTCTGAACCGATTTTTACGAAACTTAACACACATCATTCTAGACCTAATTAATTACGCTGTGCCAAATTTCGTGCAAATCGAAAGATAGATAGGGAATTTGCTACACAATTTACCTTAAATCGGACGAAAATATATATGGGAGCTATATCCAAATCTGAACCGATTTTCAGGAAAGTTTACACACATCGTTCTGGACTTAAATCAGTACGCTATACCAAATTTCGTGCAAATCGAAATTTATATAGAGACTTTGGGGCACCATTTACATTAAATCGGACAAAAATATATATAGGAGCTATGTCTAAATCTGAACCGATTTTCAGGAAACTTAACACACACCATTCTATACCCAATTCATTACGTTGTGCCAAATTTCGTGCAAATCGAGAGGTATATAGGGACTTTGGTGCACCATTTATATTAAATCGGAAGAAAATATATATGGGAGCTATATCTAAATCTGAACCGATTTTTATGAAACTTAACACACATTATTCTAGACCTAATTCATTACCTGTGCCAAATTTCATGCAAAGCGAAAGATATTAAGGTACTTTGGTGCACCATTTACATTAAATCAGACGAAAATATATATGGGAGCTATATATGAATTTGAACCGATTAGAACCGATCGAGCAAATAATCCGACCAAAAACGTATCGAAAATACTCAAGAGATCGAAAATTGGAAATGATAGCTTCCAATATTAATAGGGAGATTTGGTACACAGTGAGAACCAAAAATACCAATTAGGTTGAAAACCGTGTCCAACATCCTCGAAATACCGAAAACTGTCAGGTTCCGTTATATGGATGTTATACCTTAATTTGGACCAACATAGAAAATTTTTGGAATAACTATTTGTTACTCAATATTAAATCAAAAAATAATTTTGAGTTGAACCCACGTTTTTGGCCTAGGAGCTAATACGGTTGTCTAAAAACTATTTTTATTACTCTATGTTCGGAAAATCACCATAATATTGAAAAAAAATGGTCCAACGTTACCAGAAATTACTAGAACTAGTAAAAATAAATATTTATACACATAAATTTTTGTACACATGAATTACTCACTATTACCTTCTACCACATATATCTACGAGGGCAGTTCGGAAAGTTCTTAGCCTAGCACAAACATCGCGATATAAACAGAAAATGGTTAAGTGTTTTGGAAACTTCCATATTTGTTATAAACACATGTTAAATTTAGTTTCGATCTGGCAACACCTTCATGCTGGCAACACCGGATGCGTTCAAAAATGACGCATCCGTAATTTTTACAATGAAAAAAATAGAAATGCGTGCTTTCATTGTAAAATTTGACGACTCAGTATGTCATGATGAGGCGTTTCCATGCTGAAATGATTTCATTTTTGAGTGTTTTAAAGTGTTGTGAATATAATTCCGTTACCATTTTTTTGTAATATATGGCATTAAAATGTTACTTTTTGCCTCAGACCCAGATTTGTAAATATTATATAAATTTTTTTGAGATAACATTCCTTCAGTAAAATTCTGTAGCCTATTTATTGATGTGGACTCCAAAATGTCTACTATAGAATAATACAATAACACAAATTTACTTTGTCTATAAATATTTTATTTTATCTCATCTGAAGATACTTCCTTACAGCTCGTTTACTGAGATTATCAATCTCTAAACAAAATCCGTATCAACTGGTCTACAGAGACCCCCTTTCAACACCTATACAGATCGACTTCACTAAAACCCATTCACCAAAACCCTTCATAAATCCATCAAGAAACATTGGCTTCAGTTGACCGATAAGTTTAGCCTCAATGTGAAATCAAATTTATGAAATCATTTAGTGAGTCAATATTCACCTCGCAGATTTGACCAAAATGACATTTTCATCATTAAATTCCATTACAACTTCGTGGCATTTATTTGCCCTTGAGCATATCCTTTTTTAACTTTTACAACATTAACACGTGATTTTTTACGACGATTTGCCAATTTATATAGACAAAATACGAAAGAAGCTCTCATTAATCCATAAAATACTTCAAAAATACTTAAAACAGAGGCGCCCAAACACAGACCCATAATGCCACCGAAATTCGATATTAAATCCAAATAGGTGTATTGTAAACGGGCTGCATATTTGGTTAAAGTGTTTTTGTTAAAATACACATCGGCAGAGATTTCGGGATAGCTTTCATTGATGCTGAAATAAGATTTTATTAGTTTACTAATTTTAATATAATAATTGTTGATGGGCTTACTTGGCTAGTGGTAGGGTGTTTAAATTCACCAAATACACCATCGATTTACAGCTATTGATACAATCACATGTCATACCACGTCGTGTATCATTGATGTACTCATCCTGGAGTGGACCTTTTATATAACTGAAAACATCTGCAAATGAATGAAATAGTAGTGGATTATACTCCAGTTACGACATTCGGGGTCCCACTTACCTCGATGCTCATAAATACATTTTAAATCTGATACCCTACACTCCTTGTCGGGATTATTAGCTATAATTTGAAAATTATATGAAATGGAAAATAAATAGTTGATATTTTTAGAAAAAGAAACATGCATAATTAAATGCAGATAATTCATAATGACTAGCGACCACAAATGTTAACAAAATATATGGATTATCGATTTAACGATATAGATTTGTATAAAGTCAAGTGTATATTAAATTTGTTATACCGTTTGTAACACCTCAAAATATTCGTTAGATACTACTTTATTGTCTCAGGATACAATTCTATGTCGATTTTTTTATCCGTCTGTCTGTTAAAATTGGGTGGCGTAGGTAGATACCAAGTATGATAGATACCAAGCAAGGGCTCTGATTGACTTGGTCTTTCTTTTCATTGGTCCCTCTTTCATCTCAATTGTGGACACTGACCTCCCCGCGGTGCCATCTGGGGAGCTATTTCCATCACCCGATGAAATAGTGAGCTAATAAGAAATATAAACAAGTGAAAAAGCGTTAAGTTCGGCAGGGCCGAACTTTGGATACCCTGCACCATAGATATACTGACAGATACTTGAAATGGAAATATAGGGAACAAAAAGTGACTTTTTTACAAACTGATTATGTAAACCATAATCTACACCAAATACAAATTTCAGCAATTTTTAATGGATATTTATACCCTCAGCCATATGGCTAATGAAGATGCATACACTTTGATACTGTCAAAATGTGCCTCATCGAAATATTGGTTCTAGACCCCATGTTTCTTTAGACCAAATCCGTTTCAGAAAATTTCGATTTCATCCAAACTTTGCCTATCTTATTATTTCTTCCAAACTTAGTTCAAGTTCGAAGATGGGGAATATCGGTACACTCCTTCTGGAACCTGCATACAGGGGCTAGGTCTAAACGCGGGCTATAGTTCATTATCGATATCCTCCGCAGATGAAATGATTACAAGAGAGTCTTAGAACTAAACCCAAAACGCGAAACAAATTAGATAACTATTTTAATATAAAAAAGGGGGTAGGGAGATTAGTTACCATATACGACTACAAAATACCAAATAGCTGCGAATTCGATTGAAAAACGCGCTCAAGAACCCCAAAATACCGAAAATTGGGGGGTACCCTTATATGGGGGCTGCCCGAAAAAATGGGCCCATATTCATAATTTTTTTGTGAAGAGATTTGGCACCTACTAAGAAATCAAAATACAAAATTACATCCAATTCGGTGGAAAAATACGATCAAAACCCCAAAATACTGAAAATTCGGAAGTGCAGTTATATTGGGGCTACCTCTGTGGAGACATTTAGTACCCAATAAGAACCCAATGTACCCAATTTCAGCGAATTCGGTTGAAAAACGCACTCAAGAACTCAAAAATACCGAAACTTGGGGAGTACCCTTATATGGGAGCTATACCTAAACGTGGACTGATATATCCCATCTTCGAACTTCACCTGCCTGCAGACCAAAGACAACCCTATGCAAAATTTCAGCACTCTATCTCAATTCCTTCAGAAGATAGCGTGATTGCAACAGGCGGACGGACATGACTAGATCGCCTTAGAATTTTACCCTGATCAAGAATATATATACTTTATAGGGTCGGAAATGAATATTTCGATGAGTTACAAACGGAATGACAAAATTAATATACCCTCCATACTATGGTGGAGGGTATAAAAAAATGGGTTGAGGCGTCGGGTTAGTTGCCCACTCTACTATGAAAAAACAAAGAAAAAGGAAACCAAACCCACCTAATGTTAACGACCCCCGCAAATGTATAAAGGACCGCGATCTGCGAATCTTGGAATGTGCGTACGTTGTACAGAACAGGCGCAGTGTTCGCTTTGGCGGATGTACTCAAGAAGTACAAAGCTGATATTATTGCCTTACAGAAATGCGATGGAAAGGGATTGGTGTAAATAAATCAGATGATTACGCACAGTATTATAGTTGTCATGAAACGAGACATGAATTTGGCTGCGGATTTATGGTTAACAGAAGAATTAAAGACCTCGTCTCCAGATTCACTCCAGTAGATGAGCGAATTGATATAATCCGTATAAACGCGAAGTTCTACTACATGAGTCTCATTTGCGCTTCGACCGAAGATAAAGATGAAAAGAACAACGATATATGTTACGAGCGCCTAGAAACATAATATAACCGCTGCCCTGTCCATGACATTAAATTTCTGCTAAGAGATTTTAATGCAAACATCGGAAGGGAAAATGTTTTTGGCCCCACCGTCCGAAAATTCAGTATCCATGAATAAACAGGTGACAATGGCATGAGGTTGATTGACTTCACGGCAGCAAAAAAAAAAAAAAAAAAACATGGTAGTTAGCAGCACCAGATTCAAGCATCTCGATATACACAAGGCCACATTGATTTCTCCTGATCAAGCAACGAGAAATCAAATTGATCATGTAGTGATAGACGGACGGAAGGCATTCATCCAGTGTTTTAGACGTTCGGAGCGAATATCGATTCGGACCATTGCCTTGTAGCAGGCAAGGTTCGCACTCGTCTTTAAATAGAAGCAAAACTGCAATCTAACTCAACACTAGACGTCGAAAAACTGACAACATAACATGTTGCAGAAGCCTCCTCCGCTCATCTTACCCACTTGCTTGACGAAAGCACGCCTTGTCCTGATAATAATATAAAAGCACAATGACAGAGAATTGCCCACTCCTTACAAACTGCAGCAAAAGCAACAATTGTGTACGAAAGACGACCATCAAGAAAAACGCAGCGATTAGGGCAACCCTGCAAGCAGTAGCAAAAAGCAATGCGATAGAGAATTATCGGGAGAAAAGAAGAGAGGAGAAACGTACATTAAAAAAAAGAACAATGAGCAAGAAAAACGTGAGCAAATCGAGATGTAAAGAAGTCAAAATTAAGTCCGAAAATTAGGAATGCCCAATGATTGGTATCTCAGCATCCTGTGTCCCGTGCACAAAAAATAAGACGAGATATGTGCCAACTATAGGGGAATAAGTCTCCTTCCCATCGCATACAACTTGCTGTCCAGGGTGCTGTGTGAACGACTGAAGCCAATGGACAATGACATTATTGGATCATAACAAGAAAAATTATCCCAAAGATCTATGGGCCGATCTAGGTCGATGGTAACTACGAGCTTTACCACCTATCGACGGACATCGACATAGTCAATTGTATTGCGCTGCGGCGACTACGGTGGCTAGGCCATGTTGCGCTAATGGATGAAAATGCACCAGCTCAAAAGCCATATAAAAGCGAGCTTACTGATGGTTTACCCAGATGGGGAAGGCCAGGAATTCGATTGAAAGATCATGTGGAGGATAACATTTCGAAAGATGGTCTTTATAATTGAAATAGCTGTGCACAAGACGCGCCTGGAATTTTTTAAAGCTCGGTTTATGAATCGAATGTCCCTTCTCAAGCCAGCTAAGTAGGTATGTGAAAATTGGAATTTCGGGATATTATGGTCACGAGCGATTTAAGGAATTTTAAAAGCACACCACGTGGTGGTGGTATATAAAGTTCGACCCGGCCAAACTTAATGTCGGGTTTACTTGTTATGCATTTTGAAAGTCATAGGCGGATTTTTAAACCCATGTGACTGTAATTTGGCATTCCTTGTTATTGATCCGTCCGTGTGGATCCACCTCATGGTGGGTATTGAGTATTCGATTTATAGGTTTTCTACAAAGGTTTTTTACTTACGTATGCCTGGGAAAAACATAGACATTGTACAGTTACAGGCATCTAATAAATATCTCTGCTCACACTGCACCCGACAATTGACCTTGTTAAATTGCAGGCCCTCAATTCGATAGTATTTACGGGATTTTTCATTCTGAAAGAAATTAAAAAAAATATTAAAATGTTTTCTCATGAAAAATGGAACCACTCTATTTAATAAAAGATATAATTTTTTGTATAGAAGTTCGACTGTAATATATTAAGGTCGGAATATAATGAACCTTACCGGAAATAAACATTTACGTTTCGCTGGATTAATGTGACGAGTATTTCGAGAGGTCTCGGTTATTATTGGTGTTACCATCAAACTAGTATGTGTATTCTCATGCAGAATATTAAATAGAGAATCACTCCATTCTTCGGATTCTTTAATTAGGACCTAAAAAAATAATAAAGATGTTACCAAAAGTTTCATTCATGGTTTTTTTTCTATAATTACTTACACTAAAAGCAAATGGTACATCAGATTCGGGTCTAATAACACTGCTATTATAACGCAGTTTAAATGATAAACCTGAACGTTCTCCACTCGATCGGGCTCTCCATGGATAATAGTTATCAGTTAACTGAAAATAAATAAAAAACAAAGTCAATGAATTTCACAGGTCCGAAGTTTTAAAATCTACTCCATAAATTCTATGGAACATCTTGGACTTATTAGTGATATTTTTAAAAATGCCCATAGGAAATTAGGTGGACGGGAGCTATGACAGAGCATGGGTCAATATGAAGCAATTTCTGTGAGTATGTGTATCGCCTCATACCAAACATTTTTACCTTCTTAATTTTCGACTCCTTCGATATGACCGAATTGAATACCAAACACACACCCTTTTCCGTATATTCGGGAACGAAAATTTTACAACAATCATGTTGCGTTTCATCGTACGAACACCAACGGAAAATTTCATCACAACGCAGTGCCATATATTTAGCCACTTCCGATAGTACAATATTTCGTACCGACCGCGGTACTTTCTTTGTGTTTAAGAACTCCTTTATAGGATCCAGTCTGGAGAAGGTAATACGTTCCATTAAAACCATTAAATTAAAGAAGGAACGTTTTGCCTCCTTGGCTGTATAGCGTGGTAGGAATTTTTCCTCAGCCGCCTTGTAACGCATCCAATTGATGTGATTGAAGGGACAAACGGCCACTGCGGGAAAACTAATTTTATGTATGGGTAAATGTGATGTTTCGACCACTGTAACAAGGACTTCTTCACCATGACGCTTGGTCACATCGATGTACAGAACTATGCAACCAATTAAGGCGGCTATTACCACCAATAACCAAAATAGTCGTACCGCAGGCCGTTCCCTCGGTTCGAAAATATGATTTACACCATGTATGGAGTTTTTACAAAATTGTAGCAGACGTTGCAAAACTCTGTTTTTGAAATATTTTTGTGGTCGCCGGGGGTTGTTTTGATGGACTGCAGCTTCGTTGAAGGTTAGCAGTCCGTTTGGATGTTTGAAATTGGTTTTCTTAAAATAAGCCAATTCGTTAGGGTAAAACATGATTACGGTGCACTTCGTTCGATGGCGTCCAAAATGAAACTGAGTATTTGAAATTGCTGGCCTTGCACCTTAATGTGACGATACGTAATTATTTTTATATTAACGAGTTGTAAATAAAATTAATAATAATTTTTATGTATTTCGTTGTTATAACTTTTTTGTATGAAGAAGAAAGTTTGTCTATAATAATATATATTTTATATATCATTAAAGGTAAAATCGGTAGACTGGTTATCAATTAATGATTTTGAAAGAAAATTTACCATAAATGCCATACAATCATGATATATTTATATAAAGATAGTTTAGAACTATAAGACATGGTTATACAACCATGATTCATCACCAGTTCTGTCTTTTATGATGGGGATCGTAGATGACGATGTTCAGTAGCACCAGAGCGATATCCATGCGATGTTGTTTTGGCTCAGAATTCAAAAAAATAAGTAAAAATTTATGAGCCTTCAAATGGTATGCATATAAGTTTAATCGGTTGTTTAAAAACAATATAATAATCGGGACCCTGACCTGTTTCACACAAATAATTTTTACCATAATCCGACAGCTCTTTATAATTTACAATCAAAATACTTACTTACTTAGCTGGCTCGATACAGAACATTTGTTCCATAAGCCGAACTTAAAAAAATGCAGTCGCGTCGTTCAATTTTTCCAATTTGAAAAAGTATGCTTTGATACGTCTCCACTTGATCTTTCCATCGAATTCGTCGCCTTCTCCCTCTGGTTCGCTTCTATATGCTTTTTGAGCTGGGTATCTTCATCCATTCTCACAAAATGCCATATCCACCGTAGTCGGTGCAGCTCAATACGACTGACTATGTTGTCCGAGAATAGATGGTGGAACTCATGGTTCATTCCATCCACCATAGCAGCCTCTGTTGGCCAACACTACCCTTCTCCGAATTTCAAAACTGATTTCATTAGTTTTATTTATGGCATTACAGAGGTAAATAAAATCTTTGACTACCTCGAAGCTGCAGTTTTCAAGTTTCCCAGTTGGTTCGAGTCTACTGGACGGCTTGCCCGTTGATACCATCGGCTTGGTCTTCTCGTCATTTACTGTCAGACCAACTTTGTTAGACTCCTTCTCAAAGGTAGCTGTTACCTCTCGCAATGTTCGTCCCATTATATCGATGTTATCGGCGTAGGCGAGTAACATGTGTTTTTTGGTGTACAGAGAGCCATTTCTGTTCACCTTTGCGTCTTGTATGACCTTTTCAAGCAGGATGTTAAAAAGATCACACGACAAACGGTCACCTTGTCTGAATCCTCGTTCGGTATTGAAGGGCTCCGATAAGGTCGATGTTATCGGCGTAGGCGAGTAAAATGTGTTGTTTGATGTACAGAGTGACATTTCTGTTCACCTTTGCGTCTCGTATGACCTTTTCCAACAGGATGTTAAAAAGATCACACGACAAACTGTCACCTTGTCAGAATCCTCGTTCGGTATTGAAGGGCTCCGATGGGTCATTTCCGACCTTAACTTCTGACCTTGTGCCACTTAAAGTTATCCTGCGTAGCCATATTAATTTTGCAGAAATGCCGAACGCAGGCATGACTTTAAACATCTCACAACGAATAGAACTGTTGAATGTGGCTTTATAGTCAACGAATAGGTGGTATGTGTCGATGTATTTTTCGTGGGTCTTTTTCAGAGTGAAAAACTGGTTTATGATGGATTTGTCACACCATTATTGATATTGGCGACAGTCGTCATATCTCCTTTTTTACATTTCGCGCACGTTTTTAATGTACTTTCTTCGTTCTTTTGAAAACACGTTTCTCCTCTCCTCTTTCCTCACGATAATTCTCCATCACATTACGTGTTGCTACTGTCTGTAGGGTTGCCTTAAACGCTGCGTTTTTCGCCTCAGTAGCATTGCACACTCCTGATTGTTCCATGGGATTATTGATGGTGGTTTTCGGTATTGAAGTGTTGGTTTTGTTGCAGTTTGAAGGGATTGGGAAATTGTTTGTCATTGTGCTTCTATATTATTATCGGGACAAGGAGTGAAATCGTCTAGCAAGTGGGTAAGTTGAGCGGAATAGGCTTCTGCTACGTGGTGTGTTTGCAGCTTTTCAGCGTCGAGTTTCGGTTTTGTGTTAGATGCAATGGTCCGAATTGATAATCACTCCTCGGATCGATGAAACGTCTAAAACAGTGTTGGACAAAAATGAATTGAGAGAAAGTGTGTCCGAACGTAACAAAGAATAGACCATGTAAAAAGAAACCAGTAAGGAAAGTTCAAAAGTCGGACGGGGCCGACTATATGATACCCTTCACAAATTTGGGTACATACAAGAGATGCTCATATGTACAATATCCTTTAGATAGAATAGTCATATCATCTTTGGAGGACCATTGAAATGGAATCTAACGAAATTACCTGCGTGAAGTTGTAGATATTTGAACTAAAATCTGACGAAACTATATATGGGAGCTATATCTAAATCTGAACCGATTTCAACAAAACTTGGAATATATAAATCTAGACCTACTTCCATACTCTGTGGAGAATTGTGTCCCAATCGGACCAATATTGGGAGTTTGGTGCACCATTTACCTAAAATCGGACGAAAATATATATGGGAGCTATATCTAAATCTGAACCGATTTTCTGTTTACCCATCGATCCTCAGTACGACATGCCTGGTCTAAAACAATAGATAAATGCCTTCCGTCTATGATAACATGATTAATTTGATTTCTCGTTGTTTGATCGGAAGAAAGCCCGGTGGCCTTGTGTATATCAAGAAGCTTGATTCTGGTGCTGCTAGCTAGAGAGATTGATGTAGAAAAACGTCGCTTTTATACGGGGTTTCCTTTACTTTTTCATAGCATGTGTTTTCTAAGTGTGGGCAACTAACCCGATAAACATGTTAAAGCCAATCAGAGCCGTTCCTTGGTATATATCATCCCCTACGTCCCCCTATTTACATTTTGTGAACTGACTATATTATTTTGCTTCTGAAGGTGTATCGCTATAATATGTGTCTTTTTTCATAGATTCCCCCCTGTACACATGATTTAATTATAGCATACCTTTATTGAAGTTCTTTCATAAACTTCATGGAGGTGTTTATGATAGTGACAAAAATATACAACTTCCTTCTAGTGTGCAATTTTGTCAATAAACTTTACTAAATCACTTAATAATCCCACTAACTAATTTGTTAGTTGTAATAACGAATGTCCGATTCGTAGGCAGGAAACCAACTAACTGTAAAGCCTACATCTTTACAGTCAACTTGTGAACGTCAAAAAGGTAACACCGAATCATGATATATCTCAACGAATTGGCTCGTTATAAATTTACCAATTTCAAACATCCTCGGGGTCTCCAGATATTCAATACCCAACAAGGAGCTACCAATAAAAGAAAATCATTATTCATAGTTCAAAGTAAAAATAGAAACCCATTTTGTGAAGATTGTATTGATGGTATTCAATACATTTGGAATACTAAAAACCGGAAATCAATTCGAATCTTTTGGATATTGATCATATGTATAGCTTTCGTTGGCTGTCTTACAATGTTATCGTTGGTATCGCGCTTATTAGATGAACAACCTTTGGTGACAGTGATCGAGACCGCACATTTACCCATTTATGCTATACGATTCCCAGCCGTGGCTGTGTGTCCCTACAATCGTATCAATTGGATACGTTATAAGGCAGCCGAGGCAAAATATCTACCGAAGAATGCAACTAAAGATGTAAGGGAAGCATTCTTTAATGTCCTTGTGGCCATGGAACATATGTCTATTGGTTATTTAAATCCCATTAGAGAATTATTAAGAAATGGTCCAATACCATCAATAGTTCGGAATATCAAACTATATGATGTGGCTCAATTTATGTCATTTCGTTGTAACGAGTTATTTGTTTGGTGTGAATTTGATAATACGCGATATGATTGCTGTAAGCTATTTATACGCGAACGTACCGATATGGGTATGTGTTTGGTATTTAATTCTCTGATATCGGAAGATTCGAAAATTAAACAGGTGAGTGAATTTGAAGTAACATGAGAAAATCTGTCTTTATGTCTCCAGGATTTTTGAGAAAATATTTCTTTAGAACTCCGAGCTTCCTTGAGAAAATTTTTCTTTAAACCTCCTAGGTTCCTTCAGAAAATATTTCTTTAAAATTCCAAGCTTACTTGAACGCCTTCTTGAGAAAATCTGTCTTTAAAAAATCTACGCTCCCTTGTCTACGCCTCCTTGAGAAAATCTGTCTTTAAAAAATCTACGCTCCTTTGTCTACGCCTCCTTGAGAAAATCTGTCTTTAAAAAATCTACGCTCCCTTGCCTATGCCTCCTTGAGAAATTCTGTCTTTAAAAAATCTACACTCCCTTGTCTACGCCTCCTTGAGAAAATCTGTCTTTAAAAAATCTACGCTCCCTTGTCTACGCCTCCTTCAGAAAATCTGTCTTTAAAAAATCTACGCTCCCTTGCCTACGCCTCCTTGAGAAAATCTGTCTTTAAAAAATCTACGCTCCCTTGAGAAATTCTACGCTTTCTTGAGAAAATCTGTCTTTAAAAAATCTACGCTCCCTTGAGAAATTCTACGCTTTCTTGAGAAAATCTGTCTTTAAAAAATCTACGCTCCCTTGAGAAATTCTACGCTTTCTTGAGAAAATCTGTCTTTAAAAAATCTACGCTCCCTTGAGAAAATCTGTCTTTAAAAAAGCTACGCTCCCTTGAGAAAATCTGTCTTTAAAAAATCTACGCTCACTTGTCTACGCCTCCTTGAGAAAATCTGTCTTTAAAAAATCTACGCTCCCTTGTCTACGCCTCCTTGAGAAAATCTGTCTTTAAAAAATCGACGCTCCCTTGTCTACGCCTCCTTGAGAAAATCTGTCTTTAAAAAATCTACGCTCCCTTGAGAAAGTCTGCGCCTCTTTGAGAAAATCTGTCTTTAAAAATCTGCGCTCCCTTGAGAAAGTCTGCGCCTCCTTGAGAAAATCTGTCTTTA